AATACATCAACCACAGCCGCGGGCTATGCGTTAGCTGCGGCCTCTCAGCTGACTGGCCCGTGTCTTGGCCCCGGTCTGCACTTTGAACTCTGTTGCTGCACTAGAGAAAGTAAACGGTGCCAAAGTGCAGCCATGACAGGGCGGTGGTGTCAGGGGGAACGATTGGTGCCGTAAGTTCTGACACTTGTGGAAACGCTCCTCTTCCCACCCCATTCTCCTTCTCGTCTCCACCACACCGACCACATCTGCAATCCTGCAAACCCCGGATTCCTCCCCCCCATCAAGCATAAAGATGGGACACAGCCCGCCCCGCTCTACAAAACTCCCCCTCCCACTGGCCTAGCAGGCTGGAATGGGCCGCCAAAGGAATGCCTCCCCCTGCATGCTCTCAGCAGCACAGAGGGGGAAACAGAGGGTTCACATTCCTCTCTGCGCCGTCCTCTGGCTGGCTGTGCGACTGACTGCTTCACCGTGTAGGTCCACGAGCTGAGGAAGAGTCACAGCTGACCTGGAATCAGCTGGCAGCGGTGGAGTGACGGCTACACTCCCAGAATGCCTCTAAACATCTACTGTTGGAACCTTTTTCCTCCCACTGAGTTAAATGCCTGTCCACTTCTGGAACAGAAGTCACGTAGCCCTCTGGAAACGCACGGGGATCATTTCCATCCAGGCTGTAACTAGCTGATTATTTTATCGTGTACTCCACACACTCCCAGATCTAATGTTGCATCTCCAGATTGATTGTTTTCACTGCCAGACAGTCCAAACACAACTGTAATGGCATAACGAAAAGCAGCAAAGCCCCATATCTGAGAACTAAAGACAGACAAATAAATTATCTAGTCATTGGTTATAAAATAACATATTTAAACTGTTGAAGCTTTTCTAGACTCACCTAATTGCCTATTCAGTTAATGTTAACAACAATACGCTTTCCACAAAAATGGCTTAAATCTGGTTAAGTTCAGTGACATAATCCACTTTTGGCAGGAGGACAAGCGCACTAGAACCGCTCCTTCACTTTTGTTGCTGTACAGCAGGAGATGATCCTAGTCGAGCTCAGGATGCACATTCAGAGGCTGCAACAATATGCATGATGAGGATTACAGCGACCTACTGTTCAACACTGTGCACATGAGACAGAAAACAAGCAATACAACAGATAACACATGCAATCCAGGGGCAGGACTGGCTGAGGTCTGCTCAGCTGCTTTAATTCGACAGAGTCAGCAGGTCTGCCGCACAGTGCCAGCCGATCACACACACCAAGACAAACAACCAAAGTGTCTGCTTCTTGTACGCTCTACAAACAGAGGACTGCTGTTAGTGAGCAGGACGTTTGGTTCCCTGACAGTTTCAGCTATTTTAAAGGTTGCTTTAGAAAGACAGGCGGTGAGAGAGAAAAAGCCTCATCCCACAGCCAGATCTCAGCCGGTGTAGTGACAACGGCAGGACGCGTCGCCTGGTCCATTTGTCCAGACAACGCGCCGCTCACAGCTCGTTCCGAGCCAAGCCGGGCCATCTGAAGTAGCTCCGCCTGCAGCTCACACTGAAAGCATGCACGGTGGGTGGCTAAAGAACAAACTACCACTGTCCAGTGGCCCAGCTCAACACCAGTGGGAAAGAAATGTGTGCTGCTGCTCACGTCGTGACAGTGGAGGACTCACCTGCACTGACAGATGCACAAGCCACTTCCTGTGTGAGAGAACCACAGCTCTCGGTTCACTGATGAGTCTGATCTCAGTCGAGCTCCAATCACTTCTGTGCAAACACATGGCCAGAGCAGTCAGTAGGAAAATGAAGGCAGATAAACATCAGTGTCAGCAACCACACTGGCTCTGCCGCTACTTTACGAGAGGAAACCATCCATGATCACACAGAGCTGACGTTTAGGGCAGCACACCTGGTCAAACTGCTCTCAGCGCCACATTTACCTTGGGTCATTCACTGAGTTGCACTAAACTTGTGAAGCAACCCAACACTGCTGCATCAGAAGGAGGGGGCAGCGGGAGAGGTGATAACTACCACATTTTCAAAAATAAATCACCCTGACATATACGACCCATCAATCAGCAGTGATGCCAACAGCTCCAGGCCCTCTGGCTGCCCCGCCCCCCTCGCTGTACTCTTCTAACTGTCGCTGAGAAGCTGCCACACAGCCAGAGCCACAATAAAACCTCTGGTGGCGTCACTATGTGCTCTGACATGTTGCAACATGTGGCGGCTCCCTGAGCATTGAGAGGCTTAATAACATGTTTGTGAGGCGAGGAGCTTGTAACACGTTGCAGTTAAATGGACTCAGTCCAGGTACTGTACACTGGGCCGCCAAGGAAAGTCGCTCATGTACAAAATGGACACCTGGAAACACACTCCAAGGACAAAGTCAGGCTCACACCGCACAGCAGCGCACATGGCACTGATCCAAATCACATGAGAATCCCTGGCCAGGTTCTTCCTGCACAGAGCGGAGCTCTGGTCTCCAGGACCAGGAAGCTGAACTTTATTCAAATGGAGAAAATAAAACAGAAGTGTGGCTGCAGTTCCTTTTAACCTGCCACCTACATTCTCCTCTACTGAAAAGATAAGCGATGAGGCGTGCCCGTTCAGACTGCATATTCACAGATCACCAGAGAGAGACCTAATGCGGGGCGGGGGGGTCCCTGTGGCGCCATTAGACAAGGTGTGGGAGTGAACTGCTCTCTGACCACACCCATCACACATTACTGGGACAAACTCATTCCCACACTCACTATATCCACTTCTCTCTCGGTGCAGGAAGCATTTGCTCACTTTTGCGCAATAACTGGCACAGAGAGCGTGAATACGCCACAGGAATGTGCCCTTGGTTCCTGTCATCGCTGCGGGTGCCACAACTCCAGCTCGGCAGGGAGACATGTCCCCAGCCTGTACTGCTCCCAACCCACCAAATACCTCTCAGCCTCCACTGACGAGAGCAGGTTCAGGACCGCGGGGGACAGACCTCAGCCCACATGTGCACAACAAGCCTTGTTTGGTTAATGATTGGTAGGTTAGATGTTCCTTCTGAAGGAACTTTGACCCGGGCAGCTCTAGACAAACACACAGAGCGTCCATACGAGGCAACAGCAGACGGCTGCGTCCACCAGGTTTCACAGTTAGTGGCGACAGGAACGTCTGATGCTGACGGCTACAATGTTGAGTGGCCTTAGAAAAATGCAGGACTCAGTGCTCGGCATGCCGTCACGCCACTAGTAAGCATGCCAGTCATGTGAATAAGGCTGGGTGTGTAGCCTGGTTAGCAGTGCACGCACCGAACACACCCTCACACCAGTTATGTTTTTAGTGTTTCATTATGTAGTCACAAGAGTGTGCACGATGTAAATGTCACTGACTGTCTGTGTGTGTGTGTGTGTGTGTGTGTGTCCATTTATTTCTAGTTTGGACCATGTCAGGACTCGACCGGGTCTCTATGTTCAGACATGTCTTCTAGCAGCCATAAAGTCTGGTGGACAGGGGGACACTGGGTAGAAACATAGACCGTCTTAGTAAATATTAGGACAGGACTCAAGGGGACGTCTGCACACAGGTAGCCACACTGGCACTGATCACAGGTCAGTGACATCAATTAGAAAGAAGCAGCAGGAAGAAGAAGAGCATGAGGAGGAGATGGATGGAGGCCTGACGGGTACAATGTGAATGGTTTCTGGCTGGTTAGGGGGCGAGGACTACTATGACTATTCTGATCTTGATGACGGCGCAGTACAAAGGCCTGAGGCACCATATGGTGTCAGATGGTTTAACGTTACTAAGGGGTCTAAATATTTATGCTGACTATTGCTAAAGCTGGCTAAAATCTGCCGGGGGTGGGCGTTTAGTTCTGTTCAGTGGCTCCACAAACTCATATGTCGCAGGGCCGTGGGAAGAACGCGAGCCACCGTCAAACCAGATATAACAGTCTGCACATACAGCAGGTCTTCTGAGCAACCAGGCTTGTTTATGTCTAACACCTCCAGATGGGAGACACATGAAAGGACACACCATGACCCAGCAGGGCCACGGGGCCTCGGGGCCAGAGCAGCGTCAGGTCAGATTGATCAGTGGCCCCTACGTTTGTTTTTTTTTTTAATTTCCCCTCATTTATTCAGGTCTTTCCCTCATTTGTCCCCCATCAGTCGCTGTTCTGCCCTGGTCCCTGAGTAGTACCACTTTCCTTTGCCCCTGACCTGTCAGACACAGGGCTGCATTCATTTTCTCTCTCAGCGACGCTTTGGATTTATTACTGCTTTTAAAATAGATGTAATATTTCAAATTCTCTGAAGGTTTGAAAAACCACGTAAAGAATTCCCCCAGCAGGCCATGGCTGTTTTCCAGATGTTTTCCCCACGTGCCCAGAGCTCCTTTCGCTTCAATACAATGATTAAATGCGAACTTTAGAGTTAAATGATCTATATATCGGCCCTGAACACCGCGGTATCGGTCAGACCCTCTGGTAGTGAGCAGCAGAAACTGTCCTTGACTCAGTCAGTCGCATCGGCCTCCAACCAGTCAAGCCAGCAGGCAGACCAGTGGGACAGGAAAACCTCCAACACACACCCTGAGACTCACTGTTACAGAATTCCAGCCCCGTCACTATCGTGCAACAATGTGGCGCCTGTTCCCGCCCGGTGAGGGCACAGATTCACCTCTGAGAGGGAAGAAGCAGCTGACGTTACACACGCACACGTCTCCTTCCAGTGCGAGTGAAGGGGAGCCGCCTGACACGGAGCTGAGAGGAGAGCCAGGCTAAAGCAGCGCAATGCGTGCAGCTGCGGGGCTCAGGCCCGCACTAGGTCTCTGACCTCCACCCCCCCCATCCCTCCCCTGCCATTTCCTTCTGCCCGCCGCCGCCACCTCCTCTCAGCCCGGCTCGGCCTAACTGGGCCCGACTTCGGTAAAGGTAACCTTACCTTCCTCTGCTGTCTCTCCCATGGCAAAACATGGCAGACTGGAAAGACAGACAATGATAATTGATGTAACCTTACCTTCCTCTGCTGTCTCTCCCAGGCCGGGTCCAGCAGCATGTCCCGGTCCCAGTCGTTCTCCTGCTCCATGTAGGTCTGCACTCCTCCGGCCGAGGACTGGTTGTTGGCAGCGTGATAATCTACCATGTCAGCGAAAGAAACCTGAGTGCGCCACGCAGAGAAACTGTCAAGTAAAGACCGGACAAAAATAAAACCGGACAAAGCAACGAAGGCCCGAGTCAGAGAGACGGGATGGGGAGGGATACACGACCGAGGAAACGTCCGTCCTTTTCGCCGCTTCCAGCCGCTGAGTGTGTTTTTGATGGGATGAATATCCGGTGTGTGCAGTCAGAAAACCCTGCTGCTGCTGTGAGAAGAAAAACTCTCCCTCTCACGGTGTGGCTGCTGGGAGGAACCGGCCGCTCCTACCGCGCTGCGGCGACCCCGGCAAGGTGGCCCGCGCGAGCAGCGCCGCTTCCGCTGCGGCCTTTCAAAGTAATAGTCTGTTCAGTTTAGTGTTAGCGACCACACCAAAAAGAGGTATCAGGTTAATGCCACAGTGTAAAAATGTTCTGTTAGAAGTTTAAAACCCCTGCATTCAACATGCTACTTAAGTAAAAGTATTAGCATCAAAATAAACTCCAAGTAGCAAATGTATGTCATAATACTAAAGAATTATTATGCATTATTTTGTTAATTAATTTAATGTTGCAGCTTGTAAAGGTGGACCTAGTGTTAAATACACTATATACTTTACATATTGCTGGGTAGTTTGTGAATGTTCCAACCTGGGATCAATAAAGTCTTATGATTTTTATTTTTTTAATTTTCAGATACTTGTAGTGCAGTAAAAAGTATTTACCTCTGAAAAGTAGCAGAACATGAAAATACTCATGAGAAGTACAGATACAGTACCTCAAAACTTTACTTAAATACAGTACTTGAGTAAATTTGCTTAGTTAAAATCACTGATTCTCATAATACACTACTAATGTATTTATATCCAGATTCCCTTTAAGTTTAGCTGTTTTTGTTGTTTGTCCCGTCTTCAACATTAACCTACTGCTTTTCTTTTTCTCTTAAACAAGACTATTATTTTTGTGTTTCTAATCAACACAACGTTTTGTTAATAAAACACACAAGGTTTTATTAACAAAACCTTAAAAACAAAGTATTACCTAATCAACTAATAAATCGTCCTTGAAGTTTGCAATCAAAATAATATTGATGTATTAGTATTTTATTTTTCATTTTACAGCAACTGCTTAACTGGATACTCAGTATGACTGAAGAAGAAAAATGAATCTGGAATTTCTTGTGCATTTTTTCCACCTTTGAAAAATGACATTTTATTTTGTAGGCATCCTCGCCCGTCTTCCGGTATATAGCTGTGTATTTGTGGCCAATGACGCGCCGTCCTCCAGTAGCTCCTATAGGCCCAGTCAGCTCGTGAATATTCATGTGACATTGGAACGTGAGCTGATGAAACAATGAAACACAATAAATTTGAAATATCGAAAAGGTGAGAGCGATAAAACTGTGACGCCTAGTGGTGGATTCACCGTCCTCTTCATGTTTGACTGCACTGCAAGTTCATTCAAGTTTTCCAATACATTTTAAAATGTCAACAAATAGTATGTTCGTTACAAATAAATTAGCCACTGGACTCAGAGTCATCAGGTCTTAACACACATTCTACCTTGAAAGGAAGCACATTCTGAATTAAAGGACATCACCAGCTGTAGTTATTTATGGGCTTTACATCACAACTAACCATTTTACAAAATGGATTTGTTACTGCTCCAGCCAGCCACTGGTTTTCATTCGTTCCTGTCCAAAATGAAAATTAAGTGAACAACCTTGTTTGTTTTTGTAAAGTTCAGTTTTCTTTACGAGCTAAATCACAGAAGAGCTTTCAAATCAATCTGCACTGAAACTGTAATACAACACAAAGATAATGTTACTTGTAAAGATGCTAACACAGAGTGGTTGAGCTGCTGTGATGGATTATACAACTTGAGCAGAGACTTTCACTTTATTTTCAAAATAAAAGGGCAGTAATGGCAGCCTGGAACAGAACAACATAAATCTAGTGTGCCTTTGTCAACTGTCAGCCCAAGCTTCAAGAGGAACAAGCTAACGAGGTCACATGCAGCAGAGACAGCCCAGAGTATTTGTTAAAAACTTCACTGGGGTGGACAACTGCCCAGAAATGGACAGACTCTGGACAGAGGAGAGGGCCAACCAGGGGTTCAGAGGGTCTGGACCTCCCTGGGCGTCACAGGGTGACATGTGAGGCCGAAGGATATTTAACTGGAGAAGAAACAGAAACATTTCTGTGATACAAATATATGTATTTGTTGTTGATTAGTCTCACTTTTTAAAATGTTTTACTTGTAAAAAAACAACAACAACAACAAATTAACAGTTTCCAGTGCCTCAGCCTGTTGTAAACAACAACAACAGTTTCCAGTGCCTCAGCCTGTTGTGATCATGAAAGAATGCAGCAAGGTGGAAAGTAGCTGATTCATGTGCAGCCGGCGCCCGTCCAGTGGCCGTGACCCAAAACGTTTGAAAGCCACTGACCCAAAGGCCTGACATCGTATAACAACAAAGCCTGAGCTGCAGCCTCATCCATTACACCTGCTGAGGCCGGTGTGGAGGGCAGCTGTCGTCCTGCAGGCGGCAGGAGCCAGCGACCCAAGTAGGTCACGCTCTGGCTGTCCTGGTCAGTTAGTGTCACCAGACAGGCCTCCGCTCAGATGATACAAAGTGCAGCTCTGTGATTGGACAAAACCGCTGTGCATCATTACTACAGCCCCGTCTGGGCTCAGTTATGAATGGACTGAGGTCGGGTCTCAGATGTAGCTGGTGTCTGGGGGCGGAGGGGGTGATGTGGACGCTGGGACACCAGTACACTCTGGTACAGACCAGTACACATCTAACACAATTGGATGTAATCTTACAACACGTAACAGCAATATCTTCTGTTAATGTGTAAATAAATAATATGTATATAAATGTGATACACAGAAAAGAATTGCATCTGGACAAAACAAACAAACACTGGGCCACTTGGTGTAGCTGTTGACTGCTAAGAGGAAAGTGAGAAAACTGTATTTTTGAAATCAGTATAGAAAAAGATGCTTTTGCAGCTGTTAGGGCGGGGACATTTAAAACAACCAGCTTTCAGTGTTCATATAGTGAGTTTCAGATAAACCTGAAATGTCCTGTTGTTTGGGTAAACGGACCTTTAAAGTTTATGTCGACTTCTCATGTTGCTGTAGAAACACCCAGTGGCTGTAATATGTAGAGGGGGTCTGATCTGTGGGATCAGACAAGAGAGGGACAGAGCATCAGCAAAAAAAGAAAAAAGCACTAACCTGACCAGGTCTCCATCAGAGCAGAAACATAAACAGTTTGATCTGGTACTTTTTATTGGTAATTAACAAAATAATAAACACCACAGAGTCGACACCAGATTAACAGAAGAAAATCATACAAAATTATAATCCCATCAAAATAACATGAAAATAAAATGAACAGAAACCCCTCAGCGAGGACAACGTGAGATTATTACCAAAAAGCTTAAAATCTTTCTTGATTTAAACCAGGATGTATTATATATATTATTATTAGTCCAACAAACTTAAAGATGCAACAGGAGTATTTGTCTTTGAGATAATCAACACTTCTGTTTGTTTGTTCATTATCTTATAGTCGTTTTACTTCCTCTTTTTTACTTTTAATACACAATAACTGTAAATAAACAAAGGACCAAAGGTGTTTGTCACTAATGTTGTCACACCAAACCATCTGTCAGCAATAAAACCCAGAAGTTCAGTTTTTCCCCCGACCCTGCAGCACCACAGCCCCAGCAACACATCCCCCCCAGCAACAGAACAGCAGACCCTCCAGGGAGTGCCCATCTTAAGGAAAACTACCTGTGCCATGCAGCAGGAGGTCACATCTCACAGCATAGGAACCCTAGCCCTCAGAAAAAACAGTTGCTTTTTGAAACCCTGTGCTTCACAACAGTAGATCCATTCATAAAACAGTTTAATCTCAATGAAGCATCTTTCTGATTATACACTGGCCTTATCCTTTAAAGAGCAGGAAACAAACCGGCGAGTGGGTGTGACTGGACCAGGTCAGCTCAGTTATACATGGTCGCTTGGAGCCACTGGAACCAATCAGACACACAAAACATAGGGTTGAAAATCACTTTGTTTTCATGTTTGACAGGTTTAATAAAGAGCCTGCCAAACTGAGGTGTAATTATTAAACCATTCAAACTAGGAAAGCAAAATAAGCAGCACATTTGTCCTTTATCACAGCTGCTTTGTTGCATATGGTTTAGCTCTCTGTTGAATGTGTGTGTTGTTTTTGTAGTGTTCCTACCTGTTTGTAGCTGACGGTTATGAACCCTTTTCCCACCATGTCAAGCTCTTGAAAACGCTCTGCAGAAGACAACAATGTACATTTCAGACACAGTTCAACTGTGACGGTGAGTGATGGTCTGTGCTCTGTTCGGGTGGCTGGAGTGGATAGTGTCAGGACACCCTGAACTGACTGCATGACAGACACCACCCGTCTGGCCACGGTGAAAGCAAAAACAACATTTTTAAATTAGACTAATACCGCCCCACCCATCCCGCCTCCCTCCCTTACGGGTCATGCTCTCCAGTTTCATCACCAGGTACAGGAAGCCGGGGTAAGTGATGGTCAGGTTAGGCTCGGTGTATCTCAGGACAACCAGCTGCAGCACCAGATCATCCACTGTGATGCCTGGACCAGACACACAAACCACGGTCACATCTATTCCACAGGCTCAGTGTGCAAGATGTTTCTCCTGTCACAGTGGACCCCATTCACTAACACTCACATGCATAAAGGTATATATGAGGCTGCTGCACATTTTAGGGCTTAAGCAAGAAAAGGTGTTATGAGTATTACTGTTCACTTACTGATATTTGATAACGGTGTTTTACTCAAGTAGAAGTGGTTAAAGGTAAAGAGCAGGTCACACAGAACGAATTTCACCGACTGACTTATTGGAGGCAAATCAAACGATGAGTGTGTGATGTATGAGAGGACAACGTTCACATTAAATTACTGAAGAGTAAAATATTTCAAAATAAAGGACACAGGCAGAAGAATATTCTTTACTAACTGACGTGTCACTGCAAATGGCCTGATAGTTATCCAGCTGTTCTCTGTGCTGGATAGAATCTGAACTCTGGTGAGGTTTACCACCCTACTTTAGTACGAATTCACTTACTTCATGCATACTGTACAGTACATTGCTGGCGGAACCAGAATGAGGCCCTGACACCTTTTTCTCCAAGAGAAGAAAATGAACAGACCTGCTGGTGTAACGTGGATGAGATTCCTAACCCTGCATTACTGTGAGCACCTGAAGAGCCGCCCATCGGTAAAGTGTACGCCCTGCAAAACGGATATTAAAGCCTAAGGTGCGACTGATTCACAACGTCGACTCAAGCAATGCGCAACTGGCACCCATGAGTGTTTGTGTGTTTTGTTCAACCACATATTATGATAAAGTGGATGGTTCACAGGGACATGGTTTAGTCTCCACTACAAAAGACGAGTGACAGAACCAGACTCACATTGTCCAGACTGACAAACTAGAGCATCATCTCCCGGAGTAACATGAAGCAGGAGCTGAACAATCAGGACATTTGGGAATATATTTAACACTTCTGAGCATAAAACATCTAATTTCTCTGTGTTCTTAGAGCTTCATGAGGCATTTGGTAGCAATAAGTAATCCTGCCACACCAGAGAATAAAAAAGTCTTTTAATACTGATGACAACTAAACAGGACTCAGTGCCCTTCAATAAAAGCTAGTCTACATAAGTAATATCTGTGAACACACAAGCAAATCAGAATTGTATTTTTATATTATTTTATGTTTTATTACCACAGCCGAGGGCAGGGGTTATGCTTTTGCCAGTGTTTGTTAACAGCATAACTCAGTAAGTAATGGCCCACACAAATGATTAGAGTTTGGTGCTGATCTGTCTCATAATTTGGATACAGGAATATTTTAAATGACTCTTCACCACTGTGAGTGCTGGAAAGGCTGCTGGCTATATGTGAGCCCACTTTTGGTCAAAGTGCACGGCTGTGCTGCTGAGCACTCTGATCGCATACAAAGACAAAGCCCAGAGTTAGTTACAGCTGCTCGCTCACTGTCAGCGGCAACCGAGTGCTATCACTCAGTCCACCCCGCTGTGTCAGACCGGGACTGAAGGAACCGAAGGAACCGAGCGAGGCCACGGCCCACAGCTGGGGTGGGATCGACTCTGTGCAGCGACAGCGGGGTGAGAGCCTGATGGCAGAGATTTGGAGTCAGGCTCAAAGCTGTTAACATTTTCATCTGTAAGACTGGTTTTATGCCACTTTATTAAGTTTTGACTGTTTTTCAGGTGAAAACATTATGGTGAAACTGAGTTGTCCTTTGCCAGAGGTCTGAAGTCTCCGAGTGCTGTCGAGTTAACTATGTTATGAATGAACCACATTAAAGTGCAAAGAGGAAGAGGTGACGGTCTGGCTCCCTCTGTTGGTCAGAGCATTCCTGGAGCTCACTAAAAATGCTTGTAGTTCTTTATTTTAAAGACTTGTCGGAGACATGCTTGAACCAGTGCCAACCTCCAGCCACAGGGTTTCTGATATGCTAGTAACCTAATCCAGCAAGTTGTACACATGTTAAAGATGACATGCTAGCTGTGGCTGGGAGATGTTTGAGGTGTGAACAAACTATGTACATACTGATGGTGCTAGTACTCAGTCGTACCTGCTGCTTTCAGAGCGGAGGCTATCTCTGCAAACTCGAGGCGCCGAGTCTTGTTCTTGTCAGCCACCAAGAAGATATCCTGAGGAGAGGTGAAACCATGACAGACTGCATATACTATACATGTCTGTCTCATGCAGGAGCTCAAAGCTGCACAGTGCTGTGTGAAAAGACTCAACTGTGACATGACAGTAAATGTTTTAAGCTAAATTCTTACAAACATGTAATCTGAGCTCCTTTTACTTATTACACACTGCACAATAATGGACAAAACAAAAGCACTGACCACCATTTGAAGAACTAGTTCTCTGATTAATCATCTAAACAACTATTTGTACTTTAATCTTTTTTCTGGGTGATCATATTTTTAGCCATGTTGATTGATTTTCTAGCTGGTGCTACTGTTGGGGGAAGCTGATAACCTCACCGTCCAGCCCGTGATCTTGTCCCACAGAAACTGGAAGTCTGACCAGTTTAGCTTAGCGGCACCTTGGTTCTGGAGGAAACAATGAGGTCAAGGATATTAACCAAAAAAAGACCACATGAGCTGATACACTGCGGGTGAAAAGCGGTTAAGCATCAATAAATAATTACTGCAAACTAATGAACCCAGCATGAGAAGATTAGCCGCCTAAGCCGGTTTGTTAGTGTTGTGCTATTAAATGCAGTGTGCACATTATGCACTTGAATTTGGAGGTAAAGTGGGATCAAGCCTGACAATGTGTATGTCATGAGGCAGTGAGTTAAGATTTCTGCCATTTCATTTTGATGCCTCAGGTTTTTCTTCTCAACACTCCAACAAAGCCTGGGCAGCTCATTTGGTAACACATCAGACTTTTAATCTAAGGGGTCAGGGTTCAAGTCCCTGTTCAGGCAACTCGATCTGTAAGATACTTGAAGTCAAGAACAGGTGACTATTCATAAGGCCACGCATCATGAAATGCATCTGCATACATCAAGAACTGAACAATGGATTGCAATATCCGGTCTTAACTCCAGAGTAGTTTTTTATGTTAATGCAGGGGGTCCACTTGGACAACTTGGACCCTCTGAAAATCATAACTTGAAATTTCACGGGGGTTGCAGAGATGTGCCTAGTTAGTTCTATTTATCTACACAGTATGTTTCTTTGCATGTAACTTTATAAATGTTTGTTTTTAAAAATAATACAATAGATAATTGCTGTGTTTATGGTGTTGTACCACCAGAAACAGACTGAGGTCTGCACGTTGTTACTGTAAAGATGCATCGTCCACTTTATCTCCGTCAGATCAAACTGTCAGAGGATACAAAAGTAGGCACAACATGGTCATAATGAAGGTATGTCTTTGTAAAACTCGACCATCTGAGGAAACTTAACTGAATAGTGAGTGACATCAGTGCACAGTGCGGTCGGACTGACTTTAACCGGTGTTAGTATTGTCTGAATCATGACTGACTGATGATTAGACACCCCTCCCCGGACGTTCACTAGGGTTAGCTATACTAGCCATTAGCAGCAGAGTGTACTGAATTCTCCCAAGCTACATGACAACTTTAACAAACAGGGTTAACATGGAACTGCAGCGTGCAGGAAGAAAAATACCATCAGATTTTAATTCAGTAAGTCAACTGGTGGCTTCTGTTTTCACTTGGGCAGTCAGGAGACAACTCATTCAGTTCTTCCTTTGTTCTTGCATTCATTCAGGGCTTAGAACTGAAGAGTGTTTTTCTTTGTATATGTCAAGGATACGCCCATGAGGGTCACCAGGCTCTTGCAGTGCTCCAGAGCCAGGTATTTCTCGCTGCCGGCCAACACTGAGGACAACACACAACATCATCAGTGACACTGTAGCATGTGTGCGTTATGCTAAGTCATTATGTAAAACAAGCACTGTTAACTCATCTGGTGAACAGTGCACGTAGAGATACAGTAAGTGTTATTAAAGAATGAAGGCTCTTGTTTTGAATAGTGCTACTGGTCGACTGAGCAGTTTGGAGCAGCTCTAAGTGGTAGAACATGACTCCAGAGAAATCACGGCAAAATGTGATAAACCACATTCTGTGGTGTTGTTGCTGTAGGAATGCTTCGCTGCAGCTCTGTGCACAGAAACAACATTAGACACGACTTCACTAAAGGAATCACGTTTTGAAAACAAGCCTGAACAAGTCTGTCGATCTGCCCAAGCACTCAGACACGTCACTGACCTCCTGCCTGTATGGCCTCAGTCAGCAGGTTGTGGAGGTGCACCGGTTTGCAAAACCCCTTCTGATGACACAAAATACAACAGTCAGTGTAATAAAGCAGAGACATTCAAACCACAAGCACAGCTCCTTTCAGCCTGGGATTAAACTAGTAATTAATCCACCCCCATTCTGCTCAGAGCAGAATGAGGGTGGAGGTTCTCACATTAAGCTCAGAGAACACATGCAAAAGGAATTGTTGTGTTTGTCTAATCTGTGTGGGAGTAAAGGTCTTTTTTTCAATGTAGTAAACATCCACATGGTGCTATAAAGTAGTTCAAACCTCTGTGCAGATGTTAGTTAACCCAGGTGCAGTCTGAATGTGCAGCAGCTGTGTGGAGGTAAATCTCACCTGGTCGCAGTGCTTCTTGAACATAAGTCTGACAGAATCAGGTGAAGGAAGAGCAGTCTGGTGAGGATAGGAAAGCTGCAGGAAAAAGCAGTCTGGGTTTAAAAACAAGCCTTTAACTGTGACAAATGAATGCCCCCTACAGCTTCTGAGCGGTTCCTTATGTGTATCTTGTTTAACAGAAGGTTTCACAAGAGCATGGAAAGCTCAGTCAGTAGAGCATCAGACTTTTCATCCTGCCTGAACAGGGATTTAAACTGGACCAACAGACTGCAGGTCTGATACACTAAAGACAGAGTTATCCACACTCTAATGATGCGCTTTGCACACGGTAACTTCTCTGATTTTACTTTTAACACTGAATCCGCTCTACAGTATTTCACTAGGCAAATTCATTTATTGAATTAGTAACGTATTTAGTTTACCTCTGCTCTCACAGAGACATCCTGTGGTGCTGGTTTGGAAGCTGGACTGGAAAAAACATTCAAACATATTATAATCTTCATATTTGTAATCCCAAATTGTAAAACCTGAGATCTGGAAAAAAGACACCTGCTTGGTCATCAAGGTGTGACATGTAGGAGACAGAGGATCACACAAACAACAACATGAGAAATGCAGGGTGTCTAAAACCTTTACACTTGTTGCTGTACATTTTGATAGTACCTGATGAATGGCTTCTACTCTCTTGTCCTGGCTCCAGTGTCATGACAACAACAAAACCTAAACTCTGTATAACCCTTTTCAGACCCTACCATCTCCCTAGTGCAAAGTCTGAGTAAGAGCTGAGTGAGCTGGAGTCAGCCCATGTGAGAAAACAGCAGCGTATAGTCTGGTGTATTCACAGCAAGCTATGACGTTCTATCATGTGACCAGCACAAAACCTGAAGAATACAAACACCAAACAGTGAAAATATCTAACTGGAGCCACGATGAGACTTGGAAGCTTTTGTTGTTAAGAACTGGGGCCAGAATCGTCAGACAAGGCAAGAGACAAGATCATTTATGACCAAATTACAAACTGGCTATGTGACTGCGTCACATCCCGCCTCCTGCACGTAAACCAAATGGAGTATTTCCTTTAGGCGATAACGCGTCTGACACCGACTACTTCCTGTTGTGTGCTACATGTGTGAAAGGACAATTCTTGACCAAGTCTGGGCCTGATTCCACAGAAACAGTCCCAAGTTTATGTCAGCAGATGGACCCATGACTCACATGGCAACGCTGCCGTGCTCTGTCAGCACCCGCAGGAGGAACTCCCCCTTCTCATTGGGCTTGAAGGTGGAAGGGATGATGATATAACGACCTGGTGGAAGGGAGCTACAAAGAACAACCTCCCGATGTTGGAGGTACCTTTGGCTGCAGCGGAGTGGGCGACACTCCTTCAGGTCATTGGCTGACAGGTACATATTGACAGGATGTGCCTGGAGAAAAAACACATACTTATAATATAGGTTTTTACTGCTGAAGACAGAGCTGGTAAGAATGACAGAGCATGGACAACAAATGTGGAAGCTGGACTGGAAAAAACATTCAAACATATTATAATCTTCATATTTGTAATCCCAAATTGTAAAACCTGAGATCTGGAAAAAAGACACCTGCTTGGTCATCAAGGTGTGACATGTAGGAGACAGAGGATCACACAAACAACAACATGAGAAATGCAGGGTGTCTAAAACCTTTACACTTGTTGCTGTACATTTTGATAGTACCTGATGAATGGCTTCTACTCTCTTGTCCTGGCTCCAGTGTCATGACAACAACAAAACCTAAACTCTGTATAACCCTTTTCAGACCCTACCATCTCCCTAGTGCAAAGTCTGAGTAAGAGCTGAGTGAGCTGGAGTCAGCCCATGTGAGAAAACAGCAGCGTATAGTCTGGTGTATTCACAGCAAGCTATGACGTTCTATCATGTGACCAGCACAAAACCTGAAGAATACAAACACCAAACAGTGAAAATATCTAACTGGAGCCACGATGAGACTTGGAAGCTTTTGTTGTTAAGAACTGGGGCCAGAATCGTCAGACAAGGCAAGAGACAAGATCATTTATGACCAAATTACAAACTGGCTATGTGACTGCGTCACATCCCGTCTCCTGCGCGTAAACCAAATGGAGTATTTCCTTTAGGCGATAACGCGTCTGACACCGACTACTTCCTGTTGTGTGCTACATGTGTGAAAGGACAATTCTTGACCAAGTCTGGGCCTGATTCCACAGAAACAGTCCCAAGTTTATGTCAGCAGATGGACCCATGACTCACATGGCAACGCTGCCGTGCTCTGTCAGCACCCGCAGGAGGAACTCCCCCTTCTCATTGGGCTTGGACTTGAGGTTCACACAGATAATTATAAATTGCAGATGGTTATGTAGATTTATTTTGGTTGTGCATCACCGAAGTTCTGTAAAGTTTAAATTAGTTTTCATGCTGTAGTTATTTTCTGAAATTTTTGAGATTTTATGTTTTTCTTTCTAATTAAAGTCTGTTTTTATTAAAGTTGGTTCTTCTTGACTTTCAAACTCTGCAGTAGTCCTTATCTCTGTTCAAAGAACACAGCTTACTGCATGTTTTACCCATATACAGTACATGCATGTCCAGTTGTCAGCAGCCCTTAGTGCAGACCTCTCTGCTGTGTTCTTTGCTTTTACTTAGATGGAAACCTGGGGAGGCTGAACTCAGGCACATGCCCCAGCGCACTGACCCACGGGGGAGGCAAAGTGTGTGTGTGTGTGTGTGTGTGTCTGGGTGGGGGGCTATATGTGTTTGAATGTGGCTGTGTATGTGTGAGAGTGAAAGAGAGGTAGTGTTTGCCATGTTGCCCTCATTTCCTATCACATCAGCGAGCTAGTGTTGGCCTTTTCTTTGCCTTTCCATCCCTCTGTCTCTTTCTAGTTGCTGTTTGTAGCACCACCTCTTTTTTTCCTTACTGGTCTCTGCTTGTGACACCACACCTTTTCCCACTTCTGCATCAAAATTATTTGCACTGTAAAACAGCACATCTCCTCCTCTACCCTCCTCTCATTTTTTTTCTCCTTATCGCCCTCCTCCCTCCCTCAGTTCTCCACGCTTTCTTCTCTCCTCCTTATTTATCCTCATGTCTCACCCTTCCACTTTCCTACTCCGTTGTCCCCAGCCAACCCTCAGCCCTTTCCTACCTCTGCCCATCTCACCATCCCTCGCCTTTTCTCTCTCATGGCCTGGGGTGCTTTGATCACTTGTTCTTAGCCTCCTTATCCTGTCTCCCTCTCTCCCATCCATTCATTCCCTCCTCCCCACAGTGTTGTCATCAATATTGCAGTCATTTGAGGATTCCTTCTTTATCCTTCTCTCTCTCTCTGTCTTTCTTTAAGATCTTACTCTCTCTGCATTTCACCCTGTGCCTTCTTCCCTCTCTCGTTCTGCTGATTGATTTTATGTTTAATGGTTTTTTTGGCCTCGTCTCATTCTTTCCTCTCTTCTTCACTTGCTGTTTCGTCCCACTCTTCCTTTCCTTCTGTCACATAACTCCAACCCTTTCCTGCATCACTTTGATAGGCAGATCGCTATCACTATCAGATTCCTGGACACACACACACACACACACACACACACACACACACAGTTTTAGTACTGCACTGTTTGTTTAGTACTGCATTACCTGGCACAGTGACAAGGCAATGTGATCATGAACTACTTCCCTCCTTCATCTGTCATTGTGAGGACAAATACATGTACCCTTCATATAGGGGTCAAAATACACATGTCAGCTTCTACAAAGACCCAACAGATGTCTGGCAGAAGGCTCGTTTTCAGTGTGAAAGCTTTGTCGTGTGGGCGATCATCTGCTGGACCCATTTATCCTCAGTGTCACTCTGACACCTGTGAACTGAGGCTGCAGGTCGAATTGACAGGTGCTAATTCTACCTTGATCATCAATAAACCTTTGTCTGAATAGATTAAAGTTATTAAGTTGAATTCAGTTCCCACAGACAGGCCATGTGCTGCAGTGTACTGTGGCACCACAGTGACTGTACAGGTAAACATGCCTCAACTTGATGTGAGCAGACATTTGATCTTACTGCAGAACAGATTACTAAGCAGGTCTAGACCTCCACAGACACAAGAGTAAACAGGAAGAGGATTATTTCTGACTCCACTTCCTCAAACTTTATCCACGATGAACACACAAAGTAAGAGTACAACAAAATCACATCATATTTTTTCATTATTTAAAGGGACACTGACTGTTGATAAGCATCCATCTATTATCTACACCGCTTATTCCTGAAGAGGGTCACAGGAGCCAATCCCAGCTGACACTGGGTGAGAGGCAGGGTCCACCCTGGACAGGTCACCAGTCTGTCACAGGGCAGATATGAAAACTAACAACCACATACTCACACTCACTCCTACGGGCCCAGTTAGATTTTTAGATTCACCAGTCTTTGGACTGTGGGAGGAAGCTGGAGCACCCAGAGAGAACCCACGCAGGCACAAGAAGAACATGCAGACTCCACACAGAAAGGCCCCGGGTCGGCCGGGGCTCAAACCCGGAACCTTCTTGCTGTGAGGTCACAACACCAACCCCCGCTCTGCTGTGCCGCCCTGTTGGTGTAGCTAAGCTGTGTCCTAAACCAAAAGTAACATTTATTTCTACACTAATAATTCCCGAAGTACAACAGCACAGTTGTGTCTCTCACCAAAGTGCTGTTCATAAACACTGTTTTCATTGTTATTTATTACTTTATTGTTATTTGGATGATCAAACCTCATAACTTTAATCATAAAATTGAAAGCAACAATAGAAATAAAGGCCTGTGTCTAATCAGCACCTGGCTCTCTCTTCAGCTGAGAGTTTATGAAAGAGCTCAGTTCATGCAAAGAACAATAAAGACATTTTTCACATCTCTCACCCTCTCTGGGAGACCCTCCTGCTGTCATGCCTGGCACCCAGCTCCCATGATGCATGATACAAGACAATGGCTCCACGATGGCGCGTTGGTGCCTGAGACCCTCAGTCAGGTGACACACCTCCATCATCTCAAAGTGCTGCTGGAAGTCCGACACCGACATCCTAGCAGAGAGAGAAACAGGTCAACTGGAACATATCAGTTTGACTTGTCACATACATCTTTTGAGACAACTGTGAACTCAACAGGTTCCAGTTCATGAACCTGCACAGAAAACATTTTCCAGATTATCATCCTTCTGACCATCAGTTTCAGAACTCACCAGTGTATTACCAGTCAGAGGGGAGCAGGGCTGCGGCAGCTGTGTTTATGTAGCTTCTTGTTGTCTCTCAGTGTCACACTACCTTTTTTCCTTCTGTTGTTTATGCTGATTAGGCAACACAGTGCAAATTCAGTGCTGACCATCACCCAGTGAGTCGCTGCAGTCAGCACAGGTGCCCCCAGGGATGTGTGCTCTTCTCCCCTCTACACCAATGACTGCACCTCAGGGGACCCCCCTGTTATACTCCTAAAGTTCAAAGATGACACAATGGTCATCGATCTCATCCAAGACAGTGATGAGTTGGCCTACAGATGGAAGGTTGAACAGCTGCCCCCCTGCTACCCAGACTCAGCAGCACTGTATCAGCAGTGCCATCACCAAGAAGGCACAGCAGAGGATGTACTTCCTGCTCCAGCTCAGGAAGTTCAACCTGCCCCAGGAGCTGCTGATACAGTTCTACAGAGGAATCATGGAGTCTGTTCTCTGCTCATCCATCTCTGTCTGGTTTGGCTCAGCAACCAAACAGGACAAGTACAGACTCCAGCAGACAGTCGGGACTGCAGAGAGAACCATCCGTGTCAGCCTGTCCTCCATGGAGGACCTGTGTAGTGGTTTAAGTTACACATAACGCCCGTACTGGCATCT